TTAGCAAAGAAAGCAGATAAGGAATATGTTAACGATGAGTTAGCAAAGAAGGCAGATAAGGAATATGTTAACGATGAGTTAGCAAAGAAAGCAGATATATCATTTGTTAACGAAATATACCAAAGTTTAGTTGGAACAAAAAATATTGAAACTATTGTTGGCGACTTTTCTGTCAATGAAGAAAACAAATATTTTAGATGGGAGTTTGTACAGTCCTTAAGAAATGGTATACGGTATAAACTCATTCCGAAAAATAACAATGAAATGTATGTAGGCTATATAAAGAATAATGGCACACAAGTTAAAGTTCCATTAGACAACAACTGCTACTTAAACTTATATGGAGACGAACAAAAGAAATATTTAAGAGTTTATGAAATGACGGATATGACATTGTCTAACGTAGCTCCAGCACCGTATTATTATGACTATGGTGTTGACGCACATGTAGACCCAAAAAAGCAAACATTATATTTAGATTATTATAGATATAAAAGATATAATGCAATAGAAAAAACGAGAATAGTATACTATTATGAAGATGACAAAAATAAATATTATAGTCAAGATTTTACATACCCTGAAAACATAAGATTATATTATAAAAAATATTCTGACACAAACCAGAAGAAACCCGAAATAGTTACACTATATTTTAAGTTCAAAAGAGACAATCCTATAATATCTCATATGTTTGATTTAATGAACCCAGTAGGTTCTATTTATACATCTATGGATGTGAGAGGTCCTCAAGCAATGTTTGGTGTTGGTGCATGGGAACAAATAGTCGACAGGTTTTTGTATTGTGCAAACTCTTCAAAGGAAACAGGGGGAAGTAAAACAATTACGGGTGAAAATTTACCTGCACACAGTCACTACATAGATTTAAGCACATCTCAAGCAGGTTGGCATAAGCATAGATATTGGGATTGGTCAGGAATGACAAAAGGTAAAGGATATGATGTTAAAGATGATGTTAAATTTGCCATAAATTGTTACTGGAGTGACACTCAGGGAGAAGGAAACCATACACATCGCGTTTCAGGATATACACAAACAACGGGACAAAGTAAAGATTACATGCCACCATTTATGACTGTATTCGCATGGTATAGAGTTCAATGAACGCTCAATGTTTGTGAAACAAACTTTAGGAGCTCCAAAAGAGCAAACAGCATAATTTAAATTTTTATTTTAGTATAAATGAAGATTCTACCATATGGTGTTATTGGAAGAGATAAAGATGGAAACCCAATATTTGATCCAAAGTTAAAATTAAAGTTACTGACAAGACAACAACTTGAAAAGTTGCTGAAACCAAAACAGAATGAAAAATGAGAAAATGAGAAAATGAGAAAGAAAAAAAATTTAAATTATGCAATTTTATTTTTATCATAAATGACCAAATTAATTAAGCCAACTATTTCTAAATTAATGATACCAATGAAATCATTTCATGGAGTACTTATCCCAGGTTCTTCACAATTAGCCGGGGCAAGTGTTGTGACTCAAGGTGGAACATTAGCGAATCCATTCAAATTATTAACTAAAGATGAACTTAATAAAATGATGATAAAATAACTGATAACAAAATTTTATTTCACTACTACCATAAAAACAGGTGAAAAAACAGGTGATATCTCACCTCTTCACCTAAATTATATTTTAGGTCAAAGCTTCCACGAGAGAAAAGATTCCTCATTCGCTAAGGATTCCAAAAATGAAAAAATCATTGATTTCGGCTGAGAAAAAACAGCAAAACCCTTCTTCCACGGGAACAAAGAAATAAAGAAGAAATAAAGTAAATTTTTTATTTATTCCCGTGGAAGATAGAGCACTTTTATGATACTTTTTATTCACGACAAACAAGACAAATAAAGAAAATAAGAAAATACGGCGCTGTCGCGGTTCGAACCACAGACCTTGACCCCTCCATAACACCACCTTAGACCACTGTGCTACGTAGCCTGTCGACATAAGATTTTATAAATTGCATATTTGACGTAAATTTATTTCCCAGTTATTCAAAAATAATTAATTATTGAATAACCTAAAAACATTCACGATAAAATAAGTGATAACAAATTTTTATTTTTATCATAAATGAATACCCCACAAGCTCAAAATTTACCACGAATCATAACAAGGGAGGAAATGATAAAAATGATGCAAGAACATGTTAAAAATAACAAACCACTAAAATTGAGAAAATGTGGTTATGCGGTAATGATGGAAAGAGAGATGTTGTCGAAGAGGAATAAAAATTAAATTTGGATAGAGTTTAAAAATTCATCTTTATTAAATTCATCTCTTCCAATCAATTTATTTATTCTATTAAATTCTTTTATTTTTGCTTCACTCAGTTTAAGGATTGAACGATAAGTTTCTAATTTTTCGATTATTTCTTTCCTCTCTTTATCGTTTTCAACCCCACCACATTGTGGCTTCTTTTTGTAATAACATATTTTTGATTTAATTCTGTTTAGTTTCTTTTTATATTCATCGTCTGGACTCTTGACTGCTTCGTTGTTACTCATTTCTTACGAAATAAAAAAATTAAATATTATTTAAATATAATGGAGTAATAAAATAAATCGGAATTTCTATTAATTTATTGTCAACTTCAACTAATGCATTGCCGTTAATATATCTAACAAATTCAGCTATTGTGTCAAATCTTCGTCTTCTTTTTGTCATTGATTTATCAGTTTTTCCATAATCGAGATGAATCAAAACTTTATCCCCTTGTTTAAAATTCATGAGCCCCGAATTAATTTGTTCACGTTTAACATCATTCAACCTTTCCATTTGCTTTCTAATATATTCCCATTCTTTTGAAATATCATTTTTCATTTCCACCGGTTTCATGTTTATTGTTCTATGCCATGTATTATTGTAATAATATACTAACTGCTGTATGATGGAGTCATGATTTCCATCCCAGTATATCTGACCATTAACCCCTAACGCATCTCTAAGAGTTCTCATTACCGCATCAACTATTTTATTATGAAACGTATATGGAGAGGATGAAAAGTAAAAATTAATTTGTGGGAAATAATGAGCCATAGCTGCCTGAAATCCTTTATCACCATCACCCCTTATATTATCTACTCTTTCATGATCTAGTAAGTATTGAATAGCTCTTCTTGTTTCCTGTTCTGTTTTCCCTTTCACCGGAATGCAATATAAATATCTGGTGTTAATGTTAATGGCAAATAAATAAGTAACGTTTCCTCTTGAATATTCTAAATGATCGATTTCGTATGAATATGGATATGGTGCAAATGAAGGGCGACTAAATTTTTCCTTTAACGGTTGAATTTTTGGGTCAGTTGGTTTATTTAATATTTTGAAATCCTTTTTAAAATCTTTTTGCTTCTTTAATGTTTGAAATGGATATAATAAAGTGAATGATGAAGGATTAACTGAAGGAGGAGGAGGTACTGTCGTTGGAGGGTTTGGTGTTGCAGGTGGTTTAATTTTATCTGCTTTGATTTTGGATTTCATTCCCCCCTTCATTAATTCTGGATGTATTCTATTCATTTGTTTTAAATATGCTGTATATAAAGGTTTGATATACTTTCCCGCTTCGAGTTTATGTTGAAGGATGAATTCCAAAAGTTGATCTTCATTTAAAAGTCGGGCTGAATATGGTTTAACTAATGAATCATAAAAAAGCTTAAGGCTTCATTTATGTCTGAAGACCTGGGCGTTTTGCACCTTTGTTTTTGTTCCTTTGGTTTTGCGGCTCAGGAGATATAATTATATAATTTATATAATCATCAATATCTTCTTCTTTAATACTTTATATTTGAAAATCTTTCAATTGTTTAAGGTTGTGATTACTTTTTCCTTTGAATCATTATATTTAATTGTCTTTAATTTAGGAAATTATTTATCATGATTTTCAAAACTTCATTTTTATAATACGAATATAATAATCCATATCATCACCCGTTAATTGGTTATCATTGGGGAATATATTTAATTCATAATAATTAAGAAAATTTGATTAAGTACTAAATCATCAATTAAATTTTTAAATCTACGCATTTCTTTATAAAATAAAATAAGTGTTTAAGGTTTCCCGCTACCTTGAATCATTGTATCACAAACCATTATTTACCGTTCTTTTTCTGTGGTATTATTAATAAATGCATACAACTCCATTTTCAATACAAATACAGCCTTAGTGTGCCCTTTAGATGCAGTCTACGCCGAGTTAAGCGAGTCACTGACACTCCAGTTTAACAGGTAAATAATATCTGACGTCATATACTTCATTTATAAGTATCCAATAATAATTTTTAGTGTTATGTATCTGTCTAACCAAACCTCTTCATTTTTAGTGCAATCTTTTAAAATCCTTCATCAATGAACCCGTTGAACTGAATATAAAACCTTAGACATAAAAGCAACCTACAACGCTTGATATTCTCAATTGCAAAAACCCAATAACATTCTTCTCATGTGCCTTTTCTTATCAGCTATCTTTAATTAGGTAAATTCTCCATTAAACAAAGCAATATCAAAGCGAAATTTGTAAATGTTTTTATCAAAAATTTTGATCGGTTACAAAAATTGCTTGAAATGCTTGAGTGGTTAGGAAGATTGGGTCGCTCAGGATTGCCAATAAACTGAATCATATCACCATTCAATGAAATGAAAAACGATAACATCCATGCATTTATACCATAAAAATCATAAATAAAACCAACATACACATATTTGCGTTACTCAAAGTAAGAATCTCTTAA